ATTATTGTGCGTCAATCTCATGTTTCAGTTTTCTTGAATAATAGAATATAGAACGAAAGCAATTCCTCTTTGTACAAACTCTGCTGCAATTTCTCGTTTGTGTCAGCTGTAAACCAATAACTAATAAGTTACGCCTTTTCAGCATGTAATTAATCGAGGTATTTTCTTTTTGTTTTTTTTAGAGACAAACTTAATAGAAAAATGTAGTTGCTGTAGGTTTATCTTTTAAAGTAAAAATGAGATGAGCCTCGCCAAAAATACAAAAAAATCGCGGGGCCCTCAGTAAATATTTGTTTTAAAATGGCTTAGACTTCGAGATGGACCGTTTAGTAAAATTCCACGGCCTTCCCAAAAATAATGATACGCTAGACACTTTAGGCGCGTATTTAATAATGTTATCTCCTTAAACTCGGGTGCACATTTATGTGACCCAAATCCAAATCTCAACGAAATCGAAATGTGTCTCTAATCACGGGTACATTGATTGTGACGTGGTCTGAGATGCACTTCCATGACGTTGCAAATTCTCTTTTAAAATGATGAACGAGACGAGCCTCGACAAACAAAATGCACAAGCTGCGGGGCCCTCTAAATGTATATATTAAAACACTTAGAATTCGGGACAGGCCGTTTAGCGAATTTTACGGCTTTCCCCAAAATAACAATACATTAGTTGCCTTAGGCACGCCTTTAATAATTTATCTTCCTAAACTCGGGTGCACATTTATGTGACTCAAATCCCAATCTCAACAGAGTTGAAACGTAGCTCTAACCACGGGTACATTGATCGTAACGTGGTTCGAGGTACGTTTTCCATGATGTTGCAATTCTTGATAAAAATAACAGTACATGATAAAAGCGGTTAAAAGATAAAATTTGCACATAAGTTCATATTTGTATAAAATCAGATAATCAAGCCGAATATAACAGTTGAGCGACCGTGCTAGAACCACGGAACTCGGGAATGCCTAACACCTTCTCCCGGGTTAACAAAATTCCTTATCCGGATTTCTGGTACGCAGACTGTAATATGGAGTCATTCTTTTCCTCGATTCGGGATTAAAATTGGTGACTTGGTACACCCTAAATCTCCCAAGTGGCGACTCTGAAATAAATAAACCAATCCCGTTTCGATTGTTCTTTAATTGGAAAAACTCCATTGTACCCACGTGGGTGCGGAAGACTCTGAAATAAATAAACAAATCTCGTTTCGATTGTCCTTTAATTTGAAAAAAACTCCCTTGTCCCCACGCGGGTGCGGAAAAAGGAGGTGTGACAA